CCCCCCCTTCATTGCCTGACCTCCGCTGCAGTCGCGCCCGCCTAGATAGGTGTTGAGAGCCCAGTTTGGTGCTGACAACTTGACAGGCTGGCGGGGGTGGGAGGAGGGGGGAGGGGGGGAGGGATTCTATGCCGTGTGTGCCATGTGAGGTTTTTCGCCTCCCTGTTATCGGTTGAAGAGCAGGTTTTTTTTTTTTTGTCGTCTGTGGTAGGTAGGCGGTGGTGGGCTGTCTTCACGTTCTCACACCTCCCCACACCCCTGCTCAGCTTCTCTCCAATGATGGTTTGGGGAGGGATGCGATATCCAATCGAAGCGCGGGATCTCGCTCAGGATCGCGAACCGCGGCATCGCCCCCATTTTTGTTTGGTTGCGGGGCTTGCTTACTCCTTATCCTACTCTTGTGAACTACACAAATTCGTCACAATCCATTCATCATCACACCCCATCCCTCTCAAATATGGGAAGAGAGAAAAAGGAGGCGGGCTCGCGGGCGGGCGGGCAGCAGAATGAAGCAATGCGATTCTCCAATTGGGCGAATTGGTAGAGGATACTCGGACGGAACTTCCCAGTCACGCTGGTCGTGCTAGGCAACTATCTGCAAAGAGGGTGGAGGGTCCACATGCTAAGGCCCCAGCGTCCCTTTTTTTTTTTTTTTCTCCTTCCTTGTTCCGGCAAAAAGCTTTTGCTAAGCCTCACGTTTTGGGGGACTCGGCGACCCTACATATTCTTTCGCGAGCCTTATCCACCGTCGACATGAGAAAGAAAAAAAAGCCCGCGCGGCCTACAAGAGCACTGGAGGGGGAGGGAGAGAGAGATTGGGATGCGTGCGGGTGGGTTTGGGCGTGGGTGAGGGACCAATCTCTCTCTTTTCCTACCTACCTACAAAGTTGGCTTGTCCTCTTTTTCGCCTCCTTCCCCGCCTCTGGGCAGGATCTCTCCAAACGCAAAGCCCGAGAGGCCCACGAGCATTGGCTCGCTTGCGAGCGTTGTGTCCTCTCGCTCGACATATCTCGCACGTCTCTGGCCCTCTCGAATGTGTTTTTTTTACCAGGGTGGGCATGTGGGGACCAAGGACAAACGTGTAGACATTGTCCATCAATTCTTTCTCGTCCACCTGCCGTCTCCCTTCGAGTGAGGTCAAAAGCCTCCTAAATTCGGGCGTGTTTCCCCATTTGCGAGGGGTGGGGCGGCTCGGCTGCGTCGACTTTCCCATCCATGTCCGTCCGCTCTCCTCCCAAAAGCCGGAGCTGGAAGACGCACCCAACAAACGGAATTCGACTTTTGTTTGTCGATCTCGACTGCAAGGATCCAGCGTCCCCTCCCGGCAAAGAGGGACCGGACCCATTTGGCGTGTTTCATGTTTGGCTTCGCCGTCACCTCGGAAGCGGGGGATTGTCGATGATTTTTCCCGCGTTTGGGGAGGGACAACCACAGACGTGGAGGCCGTAGAATGGATATCTTTGTTGGCAAAAAAAAAAACCCCCCGCGGAGGGTCTAGCCCGAGAACCACATGTGCCGAGGTGTCAATATTATTCGGAATTATGTTTGCCACGTGCAATTGAAGACGTTTCAGCCGGCGTCGTTGTTGTGGGCAAGTAATGGCAGATCAAAATGCAACATGTCCATAATTTTTTCACCTACTTTTTTCTGCTATTTGTTCGTTTTTATCTCCAGGCAAGCTGGAATAAAACAAGATAAAATGCATTGTTTGCCGTTGTTTTTGTCTAACCGTGAGGACTACGCCGTCGTCCGATCTAGCACAACAGCCTTCCCGTGGCCGGCTCCTGTGCGAGGGACCCAGCGTTCGGACTTATTAGCCGCCTTCTAGGATTCCTTCTGCCGACACGCCGGGCTTAGGGAGCCAGCCCCATTTTGGAACATTAGCTACCTCCCAAAACCTGAAGTCGAGGCATCTCGATACCAGCCACCTATGGCGCTATCATGATAGCATGAACCCACCAAATGATGTCTCTCTGTGGCCTGCTAGGCAGGTATCTACCTACCCAGGTACCTACCTAGGCGCCTAGACTGCGGCACTCGTGGGTACCGGGACACCCGGGAGATGGCGACCGTTTCAACTGCGGTGGGGTGCTGTGGAGGAGGGCAGCTTCACGGCCACCCATTGGCCGAAAACAGCCAACCGACGAGGGAAAACAACGCTCTCCAGCACCGGTGATCAAAAAGCGGGTGGCCGCTCGCAAATGCCGGGGTATTTGTGCAAGCGACACATTCACACCCAGACATGGAGGGTGGTTGACACAGGCTTGTTATTTTTTCTTGTATTTTTTTATTTTATACTTTTCTTTATTTTGTACCCCATCACATCATGGCCAGCACGGAGCACTCCCGTTGGTCAGTCGGGCACAGCCCCCCCCCCCCCAATGACGAAAGGTGTCAGTTTCTGGGGCTGTGTTATGACGTAGGTGGAGCAATAACAGAGCGGAAGGAGGGGAGGTGGGGTGGGTTGGCATCGGGAGCCGGAGCCTTCCCTGCCAATCGAAGCATAAACGAGGTGGACCCTGGATTGTTCTTGGGAGCACTCGAGCTTCGAGCTCCGATTGAGGCTTTTTTGTTGGCTGCGGCAACGACCGTGGGCACGCT